CCTGGGATCGAACCCACGACCTCCTGCGTACCAGGCGAGATAGTCAACATCTCCCGTCAGGGTCTGGGATCGAACCCATGACCTCCTGCGTACCAGGCGAGGTAGTCAACATCTCCCGTCGGGGTCTGGGATCGAACCCACGACCTGCGTACCAGGCGAGGTAGTCAACATCTACCCAGCCACCGTGGTGATGATGATAGTGATAGACCCCACGACCTCCTGCGTACCAGGCGAGGTAGTCAACATCTCGAGTGACTGGGTGAGTGAAACGGGATTTTGGTGGTGGTGGTGGTTTGACATTTTGTGGTGTGCCAGGTGGTTTGTTTACAACGGTTGACCAATGTTTATAAGAGGAGTTTATTCTCCGTAAGTTATTGCATTTTTGCTATTGTTGTTATTACGTAATAAAGTATGGAGAGGGCTTGTGTTGTGTGCGTGGGTCACGGCGCACCCAGCCTGGTACGGGTGCCGTGGTGACGTCACCACCACCTCGTGGTGACGTCACCACCACCTCGTGGTGACGTCGCCACCACCTCGTGGTGACGTCGCCACCACCTCGTGGTGACGTCGCCACCACCTCGTGGTGACGTCGCCACCACCTCGTGGTGACGTCGCCACCACCACCTCGTGGTGACGTCGCCACCACCACCTCGTGGTGACGTCGCCACCGCCACCTCGTGGTGACGTCACCACAAGGTGGTGACGTCACCACCACCTCGTGACACCACCACCACCTCGTGACACCACCACCTAGTGGTGACGTCACCACCACCTCGTGGTGACGTCGCCACCACCACCTAGTGGTGACGTCGCCACCACCACCTAGTGGTGACGTCGCCACCACCACCTAGTGGTGACGTCGCCACCACCACCTAGTGGTGACGTCGCCACCACCACCTAGTGGTGACGTCGCCACCACCACCTAGTGGTGACGTCACCACCACCTAGTGGTGATGTTTGTGTCACTAGGTGGTGACGTCACCAGGTAGTCAACATCTCCCAGCCACCATGGTGGTGACGTCACCACCTCGTGGTGATGGTGTCACCACCACCTCGTGGTGACGTAACCACCACCACGTGGTGAATGTCGTCAGAGAATCTTCCGGACGATCGCTCGCCATCGACGTCAATGTGGAATCCCGTTTGGGTATTACCTACCAAATAAAACGGGGAATTCGTAATCTAGATTTGAAGTTTTCGTGACTGCAAGGATCCAAACTCTTTGGTTCTGTCGGTAAAGTCACGTGGGTGAAAAAATATATATGCAACAATATAAATAAATACACCGTTTAAAAATAAATAAATTTATGCAAACCGGCACACCTGATGACGACCGTTTGTGTTATGGTCGAAACGTCGTGAGAATTTTTTTTATTTGTTTTACATATATTTTATTGTTTCCCTTCAACGTGACTTTACCGAAAGAGCTAAGAATATGAATATAAAAATGCACGACGTTTCGGGCCCAGCACAAGCGCCCGTCATCATGGTGGAAACAGCCCCAGCAATAGACAGATTGCTGAAACGGGCAAAAGGAGGCTGCTTGTGACGCAACGCTGTGTACACTTGGGGAGCGGTGGTGCAGCGGTTAGCGCGCTACGCTGCGCTACGAACCCGGCGACACGGGTTCGATTCCCGCTCACGGCCAACACCACCGGTGACGATTATTTAAACCGGTCCCGGGCCTCCCCTAGGTCGACTCAGCCTCAAATTAGTGACCTGGTGTAGCTGTGTAGTAAACATCGCCAGTGGGGAGACAAAGGCGGTGGGGCGTGGTGCTGGCCACCCACCCCCTCTGTGTGTGCCGTTACCGGCCTTCATAGGTGCTAGCTAACAGCACTTGCCCCTACAGCCTGTTACAGGCTACACGGGGGATCTTTGTCTTGTGTGTGTGCAAGTGTGTGTGTGTGCGTGTACACGTGTGTGAGTGTGTGTATGCCGTTACCGGCCTTCATAGGTGCTGCTAGCTAACAGCACTTGCCCTACAGCCTGTTACAGGCTACACGGGAGATCTTTGTCTGTGTGTATAGGTGCTTCTAGCTAACAGCACTTGCCCCTACAGCCTGTTACAGGCTACACGGGGGGATCTTTGTCTTTGTGTATAGGTGCTGCTAGCTAACAGCACTTGCCCCTACAGCCTGTTACAGGCTACACGGGGGGATCTTTGTCTTTGTGTATAGGTGCTGCTAGCTAACAACACTTGCCCCTACAACCTGTTACAGGCTACACGGGGGGATCTTTGTCTTTGTGTATAGGTGCTGCTAGCTAACAGCACTTGCCCCTACAGCCTGCTACAGGCTACACGGGGGATCTTTGTCTACGTCAGAGGGGAGGGGGAGGAGCCAGGGAGGAGAGATTGAGGGAGTGGGGGGGGGGAGTGTCCACACAACGTCCAATCCGAGCGCAAGGAATTCATATTCCACAAATGACGTCACGCACCTGGTCAGACATTTGTGACGATGTGTGACGAGCGAGGAGGGGGGGGGGTTAGAAATGTGACGTCACGTCAAAATAACGCAACTTTTAATGAAATATAGACAACACTTTTGAATTAAAGCTTTCGTGACTGCAGGGATTCATATTCTTGGTTCTTTCGGTAAAGTCACCACGTAGAAGGGAAACAATATTTGATTAATAAAAATCTGAAACTATTTTATTGTTTTATATTTTTTATAAAATATATATTTACATTAAATATTTATATTTTTTATATTTATATGTTTTATATAAAATATAAATAATATAAAACAGTTAAATTGTTTAATATTTTTATTGTTTTATATTTTTTATATAAAATATATATCAACATTATATATTTATATATTTTTATATTTTTTATATAAAATATAAATAATATAAAACAGTAAAATTGTTTAATATTTTTATTATTAAAATATTGTTTCCCTTCTACGTGACTTTACCGAAAGAACCAAGAATATAGACGACACGTTCTACTTAATTAAATAGACTTTTTTAAATAAATGTTTTCTCCTACAACATCAGAGTGCAGCGCCACATTAAATACGCACTACAATGACAACGGTTTAAAGCGATTTGAAGCATGTTTAATATATTTATTTGCGGGGGGGAATCGTCCAAAATCACGTGACGTCATTTATGGACAACCCCAAAGTCACGTAGATCTATCTCCATATATATTAAAGGCAAAGTTGCGACTGTGTGTGTCTGTTCAAAATGTTTAGCGTACTTCCCGACATGCAACAAACTTGAATTTTGCCGCGTGGGTACTTTCCAGACTGTACACCATGCAACAATTATATATATTAAAAAAAATACACTTTTGTTTTAGAGGGGAGCTCAATAATGCATTTATTATATCCTTAGTTTTTTCGGTAAAGTCACGTTGAAGGGAAACAACAAAATAATAAAATATATATAAACAATAAAAATTTCTCACGACGTTTCGACCATAACTATTATTATTTTGTTTCCCTTCAACGTGGTGACTTTACCGAAAGAACTAAGAATATGAATTACTGCAGTCACGAAAGCTTTAAATCAAAATTTAATGCATTTATTTTTTGCACGGCAAGTGAGCTGTGACGTCAAATCTGTCACGTGACCCCGCGCACGTGGAAGCGAAACGCATTGTAGTGTAGCAGGTTAAGCGCTACGCCGCGCTACGAACCCGGCGACACGGGTTCGATTCCCGCTCACGGCCAACACCACCGGTGACGATTATTTAAACCGGTCCCGGGCCTCCCCTAGGTCGACTCAGCCTCAAACGAGTATCTGGTCTGCTGTGGTGTGTAAACATCGCCACTTGGCGAGACAAAGGCGGCCGGGCGTGGTGAATCCAAGTCCCGGGCGAAGCCGCGTAGTCCAGCGAGTACAGTACGTATTAAAGGGAAATTTGTGAATGTGTGTGTCTCTTCGAAATGTTTAGCAAATTTCCCGACATGCAACAAACTTGACATTTGGCATGTGGGTAGCTTCCAGACTGTACACAATGCAAAAAGTATAAAAATAGACTTTTGTATTTGGGGGGGGAGGGAGGGAGCAATAATGGAAATAATATTTTGCACGGCAAATGAGCGGTGACGTCACATCTGTGATGTCACCCGCACGCGGCTGCTGCACGCAGTGTGCTTGTTGACGTCACGCAGTGTGCCTGGTGACGTCACGCATCCCCCCCACCCTCCGCGTTGGCCGTGTATTGCTCCAAGACAAGTATCCAAGTCGCGGGCGAAGCTAGTGGAAAAACAAAATTAAAATAACTTAAAAAGTATAGATTAAATATTTATTTATTCTTTAAAGTTACAAAATTACATTTTTATATTTTTACATTTAATTTGTATTTATTTTTACATTTTCTTTTTCATTTATTTTCTATCTACGTGACTTTACCGAAATAACCAAAAATACGAATTCCTGCAGTCAGTAAAGTTTTAAGTCAACGCAAGTGTACGTCTTCCGGAAGAGCAAACTGCCGTGGTGGTGTTGATGGCAGCGTCTTCCGGAAGATCGCTAGCCATAGACGTCAATGTTAAATCCAGTTTCAGGTAGAACCTACCAATAAAACTAGTACACGTCTTCCGGAAGAGCAATCTGCCGTGGTGGTGCCGATGGCAGCGTCTTCCGGAAGATCGCTAGCCATAGACGTCAATGTTAAATTCATTTTCAGGTAGAACCCACCAATAAAACGAGTACACATCTTCCGGAAGAGCAAACTGCCGTTGTGGTGAGAATGGCAGCGTCTTCCGGAAGATCGCTAGCCATAGACGTCAATGTTAAATCCAGTTTCAGGTAGAACCTACCAATAAAACTAGTACACGTCTTCCGGGAGAGCAATCTGCCGTTGTGTTGATGGCAGCGTCTTCCGGAAGATCGCTAGCCATAGACGTCAATGTTAAATCCAGTTTCGGAAGATCCTTCCAATAAAACAAAAAAACGTCTTCCGGAAGAGATCATTAACCATTGCATTGTCTTCGGAGCTTCTTCCGGAAGAGGAAGTTGCCGTTGTGGTTGTCCCCCTTGCTTAAGCGGACTGCGAAATCGAATCACTGCTGGCCCCGGCCCCTGCTTATGCGTTGTAGGGATTCTCATTGGAGTCGATGTTAGTATTTGAGGGGAGCCGGCTCGGATCTGTCGCCCCCTCACCCCTTTCTCCTCCTCCGCCTCCCCCTCAGGGCTCTTCGTGAAAGCAACGAGGCGCCTCGTAAGTCTTCACCCTCTCCTCCTCGGGGTGGTTCATTTTATTTCGACGTTACAATAAAGACGATAGAGAGTTGAATTGGCCCTCCCGGTTTACCGGCCTCCCCCCCCCCCCAATTCGCTTGCCTAGATTGCATACCGAAGACCCTCGCCTTCCCCCGGGAAAGCCTGGGTAGGCCGCACTGGGGGGGCGGGGTACGGATATTTTAAGGGTTAAATGTATGACAAAAGTTGTTAATTGTGTGACCTGAAGTTGTTAAATGTGTGTTGTTGTTTGTATATTACGAAAAATTGTTGAATTGGCCTTCCCGGTTTACCGGCGTCCCGCCACCCTACTAACTGGCCTAGATTGCATACCGGGAGACCCTCGCCTTTCCCCGGTAAAGCCTGGGTAGGCCGCACGCGGTGGGTGGGGGGGGGGTTACGGACATTTTAAGGGTTAAATGTACGACAAAAGTTGTTAAATGTCTGATTAAAGTTGTTAAATGTGTGTTGTTGTTGTTTATATATCCACCCGCGCCTCCTCGCCGGGGCGGTAGTGGGTGGGGTGGTTTATTTCATTTCCATGTTACAAAAAAAGTGGAATTGGTCTTCACGGTTTACCGGTCTCCCCCCCCCCCCCCCGTACTCTCGCCTAGATTCCATACCGAGAGACCCTCGCCTCCACCGGTTAAGCCTGGGTAGGCCGCATGGGGTGGGGATGAAGTACAGCTATTTTAAGGGTTAAATGTGACTAAATTTATAAAACGTGTGTTGTTGATTATTTTATTTGTATATTACACGAGAAAAGTTTAATTGGCCTTCCCAATTTGCCGGCCTCTCTCGCCTAGATTGCATACCGGGAAACCCTCCACTTCCCCCGGTAAGGCCTGGTTAGGCCGCACGGAGTGGGTGAGGAGGTGGGTGCAGATATTTTAAGAGTTAAGTGGGTGACGAAAGTTGTTAAATCTGTTGCTTATTTATATATCACATCACTCAAAAAAAGTTGAATTCGCCTCGGTTTACCGGCCTCCCTCCATCCCACCCACTCTCGCCTAGATTCCATACCGGGACACCCTCGCCTTGTCCCGGTAAGGCCTGGGTAGGCCGCACGGGGTGGGGTGTACGGATATTTGAAGGGTTAAACGCGTGACTAACGTTGTGTTGTTGTTGTTGGTTGTTGTTGGAGGCGAGCGAGCGAGAGGTGGGTTTTGATTGTGATCCGAGTTCGATTCCCGCTCACGCCCAACAACACCAATTGTGACGAATTAACTGAGCCAGTCACCGGAACCTCCCCTAGGTCGACTCGGCCTCAAGTGAGTACCTTGGTATGATGGTGTGTAGTAAAACATCGCCACTGGGGGAGACAAAGGCGGCCGGACACCCACCCGCTCGTGTGCCGTGCCGGCCTTCGTAGGTGCTCGCTAACAGCACTTACCCCAATAGTCTGTTTGGGCTACACGGGGGATCTTTGTGTGTTACTGTGTGTGTGTGTCTAATAAGAGACAAAGGCGTGCGGGCGTGGGCTATGGCAACCTAGAGAGCCATAGAATCACTCACACAGAGAGACAAAGACTCACTCACACAGAGATCCATAGACTCACTCACACAGAGACCCATAGACTCACTCACACAGAGAGACAAAGACTCACTCACACAGAGACCCATAGCCTCACTCACACAGAGACCCATAGACTCACTCACACAGAGAGGCAAAGACTCACTCACACAGAGACCCATAGACTCACTCACAGAGAGTCCCATAGACTCACTCACACAGACCCATAGACTCACTCACACAGAGACCCATAGACTCACTCACACAGAGACACATAGACTCGCTCACACAGAGACCCATAGATTTCACTCGCACAGAGACCCATAGACTCGCTCACACAGAGAGACCCATAGACTCACAGAGAGACCCACAGACTCACTCACACAGAGACCCATAGACTCACTCACACAGAGCCCCATAGACTCACTCACACAGAGACCCATAGACTCACTCACACAGAGACCCATAGACTCACACAGAGACCCATAAACTTACTCGCACAGAGACCCATAGACTCGCACAGAGACCCATAGACTCGCACAGAGACCCATAGACTCACACAGAGACCCATAGACTCACACAGAGACCCATAGACTCACACAGAGACCCATAGACTCACACAGAGACCCATAGACTCACACAGAGACCCATAGACTCACATAGAGACCCATAGACTCACACAGAGACCCATAGACTCGCACAGTAACCCATAGACTCACTCACACAGAGTCATAGACTCACTCATACAGAAACCCATAGACTCACACAGAGAGACATAGACTCACACACAGAGACCCATAGACTCACTCACACAGAGATCCATAGACTCACAGAGAGACCCATAGACTCACTCACACAGAAACCCAAAGATTCGCGCACACAAAGACCCATAGACTCCCTCGCACATAGACTCACTCGCACAGAGACCCATAGACTCACACAGAGAGACAGACTCACACACAGAGACCCATAGACTCACTCGCACAGAGAGCCATAGACTCACTCACACAGAGAGCCATAGACTCACTCACACAGAGACCCATAGACTCACTCACACAGAGACCCATAGACTCACTCACACAGAGACCCATAGACTCACTCACAGAGAGACCCATAGACTCACTCACACAGACCCATAGACTCACTCACACAGAGACCCATAGACTCACTCACACAGAGACCCATAGGCTCGCTCACACAGAGACCCATAGATTTCACTCACACAGAGACCCATAGACTCACTCACACAGAGAGACCCATAGACTCACAGAGACCCATAGACTCACTCACACAGAGACCCATAGAATCACTCACACACAGACCCATAGACTCAGTCACACAGAGACCCATAGACTCACTCACACACAGACCCATAGACTCAGTCACACAGAGACCCATAGACTCATCACACAGAGACCCATAGACTCACACAGAGACCCATAGGCTCACTCACACAGAGACCCATAGACTCATTCACATAGAGACCCATAGACTCACTCACACAGAGACCCATAGACTCACTCACACAGAGACCCATAGACTCACTCACACAGAGACCCATTGACTCACCACACAGAGACCCATAGACTCACTCACACAGACCCATAGACTCACTCACACAGAGACCCATAGACTCACTCACACAGAGACCCATAGACTCACTCACACAGAGACCCATAGACTCGCACAGAGACCCATAGACTCACTCACACAGAGACCCATAGATTGGCTCACACAGAGACCCATAGACTCACACAGAGACCCATAGACTCACTCGCACAGAGACCCATAGACTCACTCACACAGAGACTCATAGATTGACTCGCACAGAGACCCATAGACTCACTCACGCAGAGACCCATAGACTCGCCACACAGAGATCCATAGACTCACTCACACAGAGACCCATAGACTCACTCACACAGAGACCCATAGACTCACTTACACAGAGAGACAGACTCACAGAGAGACCCATAGACTCACTCACACAGAGACCCATAGACTCGCCACACAGAGACCCACAGAGACCCATAGATTGACTCACACAGAGAGACAGACTCACAGAGAGACCCATAGACTCACTCACACAGAGACCCATTGACTCACTCACACAGAGACCCATAGACTCACTCACACAGAGACCCATAGATTGACTCACACAGAGACCCACAGAGACCCGTAGACACCATCGGGGATCTTTGTGTTTGTCTTGAGGCTCGGGGGACGCTGGGGGTGATGGCCGAGACGAGCGACCTGGACCGGCAGATCGAGCAGCTGCGCCGCTGTGAACTCATCAAGGAGGCCGAGGTGAAGGCCCTCTGTGCCAAGGCGCGGTGAGTCACTCGCCCACCCAGCCACTCGCCCACCCACTCGCTCACCCACCCAGACACTTGCTCACCCACTCGCTCGCTCACCCACCCAGCCACTCGCTCACCCACCCAGCCTCTCGCTCACCCAGCCACTCGCCCGCTCGCTCACCCACCCAGCCACTCTCCCACCCACACCGCACGCTCGCTCGCCAACCCAGCCATTCGCTCACCCACCCAGCCACTCGCTCGCCCACTCGCTCGCTCACCCACCCAGACACTCGCCCACCCACCCAGCCACTCTCTCGCTCACCCAGCCACTCGCTCACCCAGCCACTCGCTCACTCGCCCAGTCACTCGCTCACCCAGCCACTCGCTCACCCAGCCACTCGCTCACCCAGCCACTCGCTCGCCCAGCCACTCGCTCACCCAGCCACTCGCTCGCTAACCCAGCCATTCGCTCGTCCACTCGCTCGCTCGCTCGCTCGCTCACCCACGCAGCCACTCGCTCACCCACCCATCCACTCGCTCACCCACCCAGCCACTCGCTCACCCACCCACCCAGCCACTAGCTCACCCACCCAGCCACTCGCTCACCCAGCCACTCGCTCACCCACCCAGCCACTCGCTCGCCAACCTCCGATCGCTAACCCAGCCACTTGCTCGCTAACCCAGCCACTCGCTCGCCCACTCGCTCACCCACCCAGCCACCCGCTCACCCACTCGCTTACTAGCCCAGCTACTCGCTCACCCAATCGCTCACTCACCCAGCCATTCACCCGGCCACTCACCCGCCCAGTAGCTCGCTCGCTAATCCAGCCGCTCGCTTGTGCACTCGCTCACTCGCCCAGTCACTCGCTCGCCTACTCGCTCAGTCACCCAGCCACTCGCTCGCCCACTCGCTTACTCACCCAGTCACTCGCTCGCCCACTCGCTCACTCGCCCAGCTACTCGCTCACCCAATTGCTCACTCAACCAGCCACTCGCTCGCCCACTCACTCGCCCAGCAACTCGCTCGCTAATCCAGCCGCTCGCTCGTACACTCACTCGCCCAGTCACTCACTTGCTAGCCCAGCTAATCGCTCACCCAATCGCTCACTCACCCAGCCATTCACCCGGCCACTCACTCGCCCAGCAACTCGCTCCCTAACCCAACCACTCGCTTGCACACTCGCTCACTCGCCCAGCCACTCGCTCGTCCACTTCGCTCACTCACCCAGCCATTCACCCACCCACTCGCTCACTCACCCAGCCACTCGCTCGCTCACTCGCCCAGCCACTCACTCGCTAACCCACCTACTCGCTCGCCCAGTCACTCGCTCGCCCACTCGCTCACTCTCCCAGCCACTCGCTCGCTGACCCAACTACTCGCTCGCCCGTTCACTCGCCCGTTCACTCGCTCGCCCACTCGCTCACTCGCCCAGTCACTCGCTCCCCACTCGCTCACTAACCCAGCCACTCGCTTGCACACTCGCTCACTCGCCCAGTCACTCACTCGCCCAGTCACTCGCTCGTCCACTCGCTCACTCACCCAGCCATTCACCCACTCACTCGCTCACTCGCCCAGCCACTCGCTTGCTGACCCAACTACTCGCTCGCCCGTTCACTCGCTCGCCCACTCGCTCACTCGCCCAGTCACTCGCTCGCTGACCCAAGCACTCGCTCGCACACTCACTCACTCGCCCAGTCACTCGCTCGCCCACTCGCTCACTCACCCAGCCATTCACCCGCCCACTCGCTCACTCACCCAGCCACTCGCTTGCTGACCCAACTACTCACTCGCCCAGTCACTTGCTCGCTAACCCAGCCACTCGCTCGCCCAGTAACTCGCTCGCTGACCCAACTACTCGCCCATTCACTCGCTCGCACACTCGCTCATTCGCCCAGTCACTCGCTCGCCCACTCGCTCACTCGCCCACTCGCTCACTCGGCCAGCCATTCACCCAGCCACTCGCTCGCCCAGCCACTCGCTCGCCCAGCCACTCGCTCGCCCAGTCACTCGCTCGCCCAGTCACTCGCTCGCCCACCCACTCGCTCACTTACCCAGCCACTCGCTCGCTCACTCGCCCAGCCACTCGATCGCTAACCCAACTACTCGCTCGCCCACTCGCTCACTCGCCCAGTCACTCGCTCGCTAACCCAGCCACTCGCTCGCACACTCGCTCACTCGCCCAGTCACTCGCTTGCCCACTCGCTCACTCACCCAGCCATTCACCCGCCCACTCGCTCACTCGCCCAGTAACTCGCTCGCTGACCCAACTACTCGCCCATTCACTCGCTCGCACACTCGCTCATTCGCCCACTCGCTCACTCGCCCAGCCATTCACCCGCCCACTCGCTCACTCACCCAGCCACTCGCTCGCCCAGCCACTCGCTCGCCCAGTCACTCGCTCGCCCACCCACTCGCTCGCCCAGCCACTCGCTCACTCACCCAGCCACTCGCTCACTCGCCCAGCCACTCGCTCACTCACCCAGCCACTCGCTCGCCCAGTCACTCGCTCGCCCAGTCACTCGCTCGCCCAGTCACTCGCTCGCCCACCCACTCGCCCATTCACCCAGCCACTCGCTCGCTCACTTGCCCAGCCACTCGATCGCTAACCCAACTACTCGCTCGCCCACTCGCTCACTCGCCCAGCCACTCGCTCGGCCACTCGCTCACTCACCCAACTACTCGCCCCGCCCACTCGCTCACTCGCCCAGCCACTCGCTCGCTAACCCAGCTGCTCACTCGCCCAGCCACTCGCTCGGCCACTCGCTCACTCGCTAATGCAGCCACTCGCTCGCCCACTCGCTAACTCGCCCAGTCACTCGCTAACTCGCCCAGCCACTCGCTCGGCCACTCGCTCACTCGCTAATGCAGCCACTCGTACGCCCACTCGCTAACTCGCCCAGTCACTCGCTCACTCGCCCAGCCACTCGCTCGGCCACTCGCTCACTCGCTAATGCAGCCACTCGCACGCCCACTCGCTCGCCCACTCGCTTACTCGCCCAGTCACTCGCTCGCCCACTCGCTTACTCGCCCAGCCACTCACTCACTCGCCCAGCCACTCGCTCACTCGCCCAGCCGCTCACTCGCACACCCAGCCGCTCACTCGCACACCCAGCCGCTCACTCGCACACCCAGCCGCTCACTCGCACACCCAGCCAATTGCTCGCCCACTCGCTAACCCAGCCGCTCGCTCGCCTCCTCACTCGCCCACCTACTCGCTCACCCAGCCACTCGCTCACTCACCCAGTCACTCGTTCACCCGCTCGCTCATCCAGCCACTCATTCGCCCACCCACCCACTCGCCCCACCCACCCGCTCCCCTACCCACCCACTCGTCCACCCACCCGCTCGCCCACCCGCTCGCCCACCCGCTCGCCCACCCGCTCGCCCGCCCGCTCGCCCGCCCGCTCGCCCGCCCGCTCGCTCGCCCACCCGCTCGCCCACCCGCTCGCCCGCCCACTGACTCGCTCACTCCCGGGCTTGTGTTTTCACCCCCCCCACTCCTCCTACAGGGAGATTCTGGTGGAGGAGAGCAACGTGCAGCGCGTGGACTCCCCGGTCACGGTACGCGTGCTGTGGCCCACTGCCACCCAGTGTTGTTGTTGTTCGGTTGGACCAGGGAGGTGAGGCACAACTCTGAGCTGCTGTGTAGCTCTGAGTTCAGACGGGCGACCTGCCCATCATCACCACGTGGTGGTGGCAGCTCACACCACGTGGCTGATGTCATCATCACCACGTGGTGATGGCAGCTCACACCACGTGGCTGATGTCATCATCATCATCATCATCACGTGGTGATGGCAGCTCACACCACGTGGCTGATGTCATCATCATCACCACGTGGTGGTGGCAGCTCACACCACGTGGCTGATGTCATCATCACCACGTGGTGATGGCAGCTCGCACCACGTGGCTGATGTCATCATCACCACGTGGTGGTGGCAGCTCACACCACGTGGCTGATGTCATCACCATCACCACGTGGTGATGGCAGCTCGCACCACGTGGCTGATGTCATCATCACCACGTGGTGGTGGCAGCTCACACCACGTGGCTGATGTCATCACCATCACCACGTGGTGATGGCAGCTCGCACCACGTGGCTGATGTCATCATCACCACGTGGTGGTGGCAGCTCACACCACGTGGCTGATGTCATCATCACCACGTGGTGATGGCAGCTCACACCACGTGGTGATGGCAGCTCACACCACGTGGCTGATGTCATCATCACCATCACCACGTGGTGATAGTAGCTCACACCACGTGGTGGTGGCAGCTCACACCACGTGGCTGATGTCATCATCACCACGTGGTGATGGCAGCTCACACCACGTGGCTGATATCATCATCACGTGGTAATAGTAGCTCACACCACGTGGTGATGGCAGCTCACACCACGTGGCTGATGTCATCATCACCATCACCACGTGGTGGTGGCAGCTCACACCACGTGGTGATGGCAGCTCACACCACGTGGTGATGGCAGCTCACACCACGTGGCTGATGTCATCATCATCACCATCACCACGTGGTGCAGCTCACACCACGTGACTGATGTCATCATCATCATCACCACGTGGTGGTGGCAGCTCACACCACGTGGCTGATGTCATCATCACCACGTGGTGATGGCAGCTCACACCACGTGGCTTATATCATCATCACCATCACCATGAGGTGATGGCAGCTCACACCACGTGGCTGATGTCATCATCACCACGTGGTGCAGATCGCGACGGTGATATTGCTGGGATGATGATGATGATCATGACGATATTGCTGTGATGATGATGATGACGATGATATTGCTGGGATGATGATGATCGTGACGGTGATATTGCTGGGATGATGATGATGATGGTCATGACGGTGATATTGCTGTGATGATGATGGTGATGATGATAATCGTGACGATGATATTGCTGGGATGATGATGATGATCGTGATAGTGATATTCCTGGGATGATGATGATGATCATGACGATGATATTGCTAGGATGATGATGACGATGATATTGCTGGGATGATGATTATCGTGACGGTGATATTGCTGGGATGATGATGATGATGGTCATGACGATGCTATTGCTGTGATGGTGATGATGATGATATTACTGGGATTATGATGATGATGATCATGACGATGATATTGCTGGGATGATGATGATGATGATCATGACGATGATATTGCTGGGGTGATGATGGTGACGATGATATTACTGGGATGATGATGATAATGATGATATTGCTGGGATGATGATGATGATGAGGATATTGCTGGGATGATGACGATATTACTGTGATGATGGTGGTGACGATGATATTACTGGGATGATGATGATGATGATGGATCGTAATGATGACGATGGCGATTCTACTGGTGAGCAATGGCGACCACGTTGATGGTTGTGATTTTTGCTGCATTTGCACAACCCCTGCCCCCTTGCCCGGCCTCCAACCCTCACCCCACAGGTTTGTGGGGACATCCACGGCCAGTTCTACGACCTCAAGGAGCTCTTCAAGGTCAGCTCATGTCCCAGACGCCAACTACCGTGTCTCTCCCCCCGTGTCTCTCTCCCCGTGTGTCTCTCTCCCCGTGTGTCTCTCCCCTCGTGTCTCTCCCCCCGTGTCTCTCCACCCGTGTCTCTCCCCGTGTCTCTCTCCCCGTGTCTCTCCCCCCGCGTCTCTCTCCCCGCGTCTCTCCCCGTGTCTCTCTCCCCGTGTCTCTCCCCGCGTGTCTCTCCCCGCGTGTCTCTCCCCGCGTGTCTCTCCCCCCGTGTCTCACCGCGTCTCTCCCCGTGTCTCACTGCGTGTCTCCCCGCGTCTCTCCCCGTGTCTCACCGCGTGTCTCTCTCCGTGTCTCTCTCCCCGTGTCTCACTGCGTGTTTCCCCGCGTGTCTCTCTCCCTGTGTCTCTCTCCCCGTGTCTCCCCCCGCGTGTCTCACCGTGTCTCCCCGCGTGTCTCCCCGCGTCTCTCCCCCCGTGTCTCTCTCCCCGTGTGTCTCCCCGTGTGTCTCACCGTGTCTCCCCGCGTGTCTCCCCGCGTGTCTCCCCGCGTGTCTCCCCGCGTGTCTCCCCGCGTGTCTCCCCGCGTCTCTCCCCTCGTGTCTCTCCCCTCGTGTCTCTCCCCGCGTCTCTCTCCCCGCGTCTCTCTCCCCGCGTCTCTCTCCCCGCGTCTCTCTCCCCGCGTCTCTCTCCCCGCGTCTCTCTCCCCGCGTCTCTCTCCCCGCGTCTCTCTCCCCGCGTCTCTCTCCCCGCGTCTCTCTCCCCGCGTCTCTCTCCCCGCGTCTCTCTCCCCGCGTCTCTCCCCCCGTGTCTCTCTCCCCGTGTCTCACCGTGTCTCACCGTGTCTCTCAGCGTGTCTCCCCGCGTGTCTCCCCGCGTGTCTCCCCGCGTGTCTCCCCGCGTGTCTCCCCGCGTGTCTCCCCGCGTGTCTCCCCGCGTGTCTCCCCGCGTGTCTCCCCGCGTGTCTCCCCGTGTCTCCCCGCGTCTCTCTCCCCGCGTCTCTCCCCGCGTCTCTCTCCCCGTGTCTCTCTCCCCGTGTCTCACCCCGCGTCTCTCCCCGCGTCTCTCCCCGTCTCTCTCCCCGTGTCTCTCTCCCCGCGTGTCTCACCGTGTCTCCGTGTCACCGTGTCTCTCCCTGTGTCTCTCCCCTCGTGTCTCTCCCCTCGTGTCTCTCCCCTCGTGTCTGACCGTGTCTCCGTGTCTCTCCCCGCGTGTCTCTCCCCGTGTCTCCCCGCGTGTCTCCCCGCGTGTCTCCCCGCGTGTCTCCCCGCGTGTCTCCCCGCGTGTCTCCCCGCGTGTCTCCCCGCGTGTCTCCCCGCGTGTCTCCCCGCGTGTCTCCCCGTGTGTCTCCCCGCGTGTCTCCCCGCGTGTCTCCCCGTGTCTCACCGTGTGTCTCACCGTGTCTCTCCCCGTGTCTCTCCCCGCGTGTCTCCCCGCGTGTCTGACCGTGTCTCCGTGTCTCACCGTGTCTCCCCGCAGGTAGGAGGAGATGTCCCCGACACCAACTATCTCTTCATGGGGGACTTTGTCGACCGCGGATTCTACAGCGTGGAGACTTTCCTGCTCCTACTCGCGCTCAAGGTGAGTGGAGCACCTCACCACCACTCCCTCACCACCTCGCTCACCACCTCGCTCACCACCTCGCTCACCACCTCGCTCACCACCTCGCTCACCACCTCGCTCACCATCCCACTCACTCACTCGCTCACCACCACCCTGACCACAACGCTCGCCATCCCGCTCACTCACCATCCCACTCACCCACTCGCTCACCCACTCGCTCACCCACTCGCTCACCCACTCGCTCACCACCTCGCTCACCCACTCGCTCACCACCTCGCTCACCACCACGCTCACCATCCCACTCACCCACTCGCTCACCATCACACTCGCTCACCACCTCGCTCACCACCTCGCTCACCACCTCGCTCACCACCTCGCTCACCACCTCGCTCACCACCTCGCTCACCACCTCGCTCACCACCTCGCTCACCACCTCGCTCACCACCTCGCTCACCACCACGCTCAGCACCACGCTCACCACCTCGCTCACCCACTCGCTCACCACCACGTTCACCCACTCGCTCACCATCCCACTCACCCACTCGCTCACCACCTCGCTCACCCACTCGCTCACCACCACGTTCACCCACTTGCTCACCATCCCACTCACCCACTCGCTCACCACCTCGCTCACCCACTCGCTCACCATCCCACTCACCATCCCACTCGCTCACCATCCCACTCACCACCTCGCTTACCACCACGCTCACCACCTCGCTCACCACCTCGCTCACCACCTCGCTCACTCACCATCCCACTTACCCACTATCACACTCGCTCACCACCACGCTCACCACCTCACTCACCACCTCGCTCACCACCTCGCTCACCCACTCGCTCACCACCACGCTCACCACCACGCTCACCACCACGCTCACCACCACGCTCACCACTTCGCTCACCACCACGCTCACCACCTCGCTCACCACCTCGCTCACCACCTCGCTCACCCACTCGCTCACCACCACGCTCACTCACCATCCCGCTCACCACCACGCTCACCACCACGCTTACCACCTCGCTCACCACCTCGCTCACCCACTCGCTCACCACCACGCTCACCCACTCGCTCACCACCACGCTCACCCACTTGCTCACCACCACGCTCACCACCTCGCTCACCACCTCGCTAACCATCATGCTCACCACCTCGCTCACCACCTCGCTCACCACCTCGCTCACCATCCCACTCACCCACTAGCTCAGCACCACGCTCACCACCACCCTCACCACCACGCTTACCACCTCGCTCACCTACTTGCTCACCACCTCGCTCACCACCACTCTCACCACCACGCTTACCACCACCGTCACCACCACGCTCACCATCCCACTCACCCACTTACTCACCACCACGCTCGCCACCACGCTCACCACCACGCTCACCATCCCACTCACTCACCACCACGCTCACCATCCCACTCACTCACCACCACGCTCACCATCCCACTCACCACCACGCTCACCACCACGCTCACCATCCCACTCACCCACTAGCTCACCACCACGCTCACCACCTCGCTCACCATCCCGCTCACCATCCTACTCACCCACTAGCTCACCACCACGCTCACCACCAGGCTCACTCACCATCCCACTCACACACTCGCTCACCACCACGCTCACCACCACGCTCACCAACTCTAATCTCTCTCTAATCTCTCCCTAATCTCTCTCTAATCTCTCTCTAATCTCTCTCTAATCTCTCTCTAATCTCTCTCTAATCTCTCCCTAATCTCTCCCTAATCTCTCTCTAATCTCTCTCTAATCTCTCTCTAATCTCTCCCTAATCTCTCTCTAATCTCTCCCTAATCTCTTCCTAATCTCTCTCTAATCTCTCTCTAATCTCTCTCTAATCTCTCCCTAATCTCTCCCTAATCTCTCTCTAATCTCTCTCTAATCTCTCTCTAATCTCTCTCTAATCTCTCTGTAATGTCTCCCTAATCTCTCTCTAATCTCTCTCTAATCTCTCTCTAATCTCTCTCTAATCTCTCTCTAATCTCTCTCTAATCTCTCTCTAATCTCTCCCTAATCTCTCAACTCTCTCTAATCTCTCTCTAATCTCTCTCTAATCTCTCTCTAAACTCTCTCTCTAAACTCTCTCTAATCTCTCTCTAATCTCTCTGTAATCTCTCTGTAATCTCTCTAATCTCTCTCTAATCTCTCTAATCTCTCTCTAATCTCTCTCTAATCTCTCTAATCTCTCTCTAATATCTCCCTAATCTCTCTCTAATCTCTCTCTAATCTCTCTCAACTCTCTCAACTCTCCCTAATCTCTCCCTAATCTCTCTATAATCTCCCTAAACTCTCTCTAAACTCTCTAATCTCTCTCTAATCTCTCTCTAATCTCTCAACTCTCTCTAATCTCTCCCTAATCTCTCTCTATCCCTAATCTCTCTAATCTCTCTCTAATCTCTCTCTAATCTCTCTCTAAACTCTGTCTAATCTCTCTCTAAACTCTCTCTCTAATCTCTCTCTAATCTCTCTCTAATCTCTCCCTAATCTCTCTCTAATCCCTCCCATGCTGCAGATCCGCTACCCGGACCGCATCACACTGATTTGTGGTAACCACGAGTCCCGTCAAATCACCCAGGTCTACTCTGTCTCTAAACTCTCTCTAATCTCTCTCTAATCTCTCTCTAAACTCTCCCTAATCTCTCTCTAATCTCTCCCGCTGTAGGTCCGCTACCCGGACCGCATCACGCTGATTCGTGGTAACCACGAGTCCCGTCAAATCACCCAGGTCTACTCTGTCTCTAATCTCTCTCTAATCTCTCTCTAATCTCTCTCTAAACTCTCTCTAATCTCTCTCTAATCTCTCTCTAATCTCTCCCTAATCTCTCTAATCTCTCCCGCTGCAGGTCCGCTACCCGGACCGCATCACGCTGATTCGTGGTAACCACGAGTCCCGTCAAATCACCCAGGTCTACTCTGTCTCTAATCTCTCTCTAATCTCTCTCTAAACTCTCTCTAATCTCTCTCTAATCTCTCTCTAATCTCTCCCCAACCTCTCTCTAATCTCTCCCACTGCAGGTCCGCTACCCGGACCGCATCACGCTGATTCGTGGTAACCACGAGTCCCGTCAAATCACCCAGGTCTACTCTGTCTCTAATCTCTCTCTAAACTCTCTCTAATCTCTCTCTAATCTCTCTCTAATCTCTCTCTAATCTCTCTCTCTAATCTCTCTCTCTAATCTCTCTAATCTCTCCCGCTGCAGGTCCGCTACCCGGACCGCATCACGCTGATTCGTGGTAACCACGAGTCCCGTCAAATCACCCAGGTCTACTCTGTCTCTAATCTCTCTCTAATCTCTCTCTAATCTCTCCCTAATCTCTCTAATCTCTCCCGCTGCAGGTCCGCTACCCGGACCGCATCACGCTGATTCGTGGTAACCACGAGTCCCGTCAAATCACCCAGGTCTACTTTGTCTCTAATCTCTCTCTAATCTCTCTCTAATCTCTCTCTAATCTCTCTCTAAACTCTCTCTCTAAACTCTCCCTAAACTCTCCCTAAACTCTCTCTAATCTCTCTCTAATCTCTCCCTAATCTCTCCCACTGCAGGTCCGCTACCCGGACCGCATCACGCTGATTCGTGGTAACCACGAGTCCCGTCAAATCACCCAGGTCTACTTTGTCTCTAATCTCTCTCTAATCTCTCTCTAAACTCTCTCTAATCTCTCTCTAAACTCTCTCTAACCTCTCTCTCTCCCGCTGCAGGTCCGCTACCCGGACCGCATCACGCTGATTCGTGGTAACCACGAGTCCCGTCAAATCACCCAGGTCTACTCTGTCTCTAATCTCTCTCTAATCTCTCTCTAATCTCTCTCTAATCTCTCTCTAATCTCTCTCTAACCTCTCTCTAACCTCTCTCTCTCCCGCTGCAGGTGCGCTACCCGGACCGCATCACGCTGATTCGTGGTAACCACGAGTCCCGTCAAATCACCCAGGTCTACGGCTTCTACGACGAGTGCCTCCGCAAGTACGGCTCCATCGCCGTGTGGCGCTACTGCACCGAGATCTTCGACTACCTCAGCCTCTCGGCCATCATCGACGGCAAGGTGCGCCGGGGGGAGAGAGAGGGGGGGAAGACGCCGCCGGTTGTCGTCGGCGACGTCGTCGTCGTCGGCAACGTCGTTATCATCAACGTCATCGTCATCAACGTCGTCACCATCATCAACGTCGTCATCATCAACGTCGTCATCATCGTCAACGTCGTCACCATCAACGTCGTCGTCAACGTCGTCATCGTCGTCAACGTCGTCATCATCGTCAACGTCGTCACCATCAACGTCATCGTCAACGTCGTCAACATCATCAACGTCGTCATCATCAACGTCGTCATCATCGTCAACGTCGTCACCATCAACGTCGTCGTCAACGTCGTCACCATCATCAACGTCGTCATCATCGTCAACGTCGTCATCATCAACGTCATCGTCAACGTCGTCACCATCATCAACGTCGTCATCATCAACGTCGTCATCATCGTCAACGTCGTCACCATCAACGTCGTCGTCAACGTCGTCATCGTCGTCAACGTCGTCATCATCGTCAACGTCGTCACCATCAACGTCATCGTCAACGTCGTCAACATCATCAACGTCGTCATCATCAACGTCGTCATCATCGTCAACGTCGTCACCATCAACGTCGTCGTCAACGTCGTCAACATCATCAACGTCGTCATCATCAACGTCGTCATCATCGTCAACGTCGTCACCATCAACGTCATCGTCAACGTCGTCAACATCATCAACGTCGTCATCATCAACGTCGTCATCATCGTCAACGTCGTCACCATCAACGTCGTCGTCAACGTCGTCAACATCATCAACGTCGTCATCATCAACGTCGTCGTCAACGTCGTCATCGTCGTCAACGTCGTCATCGTCGTCAACGTCATCATCATCAACGTCATCAACGTCGTCAACGTCGTCAACGTCGTCACCTTCGTCAACGTCGTCATCGTCATCAACGTCGTCATCATCATCGTCATCATCATCAACGTCGTCATCGTCGTCAACGTCGTCATCGTCATCAACGTCGTCATCATCGTCAACGTCGTCACCTTCGTCAACGTCGTCACCATCATCGTCGTCACCATCATCGTCGTCATCATCATCAACGTCGTCATCATCAACGTCGTCATCGTCAACGTCGTCATCAACGTCGTCATCATCATCGTCATCATCATCAACGTCGTCATCGTCATCAACGTCGTCATCATCGTCAACGTCGTCACCTTCGTCAACGTCGTCACCATCATCATCAACGTCGTCACCATCATCGTCGTCACCATCATCATCGTCATCATCATCAACGTCGTCATCGTCGTCATCAACGTCGTCACCTTCGTCAACGTCGTCATCATCGTGTGTGTGTGTGTGTGTACTGTGTGTGTACTGTGTGTGTGTGTACTGTGTGTGTGTGTACTGTGTGTGTGTACTGTGTGTGTGTGTACTGTGTGTGTGTGTGTACTGTGTGTGTGTGTACTGTGTGTGTGTGTACCGTGTGTGTGTGTACCGTGTGTGTGTGTACCGTGTGTGTGTGTACCGTGTGTGTGTGTACCGTGTGTGTGTGTACCGTGTGTGTGTGTACCGTGTGTGTGTGTGTACCGTGTGTGTACTGTGTGTGTGTGTGTGTACTGTGTGTGTGTGTGTGTGTACCGTGTGTGTGTGTGTGTACCGTGTGTGTGTGTACTGTGTGTGTGTGTGTGTACCGTGTGTGTGTACTGTGTGTGTGCCGTGTGTGTGTGTGTACTGTGTGTGTGTGTGTGTACTGTGTGTGTGTGTGCCGTGTGTGTGTGTGTGTACTGTGTGTGTGTACTGTGTGTGTGTACCGTGTGTGTGTGTGTACTGTGTGTGTACTGTGTGTGTGTGTGTGTACTGTGTGTGTGTGTGTGTGTACCGTGTGTGTGTGTACCGTGTGTGTGTACTGTGTGTGTGCCGTGTGTGTGTGTGTACTGTGTGTGTGTGTGTGTACTGTGTGTGTGTGTGCCGTGTGTGTGTGTGTGTACTGTGTGTGTGTACCGTGTGTGTGTGTGTACCGTGTGTGTGTGTGTACCGTGTGTGTGTGTGTACCGTGTGTGTGTGTGTACCGTGTGTGCCGTGTGTGTGTGCCGTGTGTGTGTACCGTGTGTGTGTACTGTGTGTGCGCCGTGTGTGTGTGCCGTGTGTGTGTGTACTGTGTGTGTGTACTGTGTGTGTGTACTGTGTGTGTGTACTGTGTGTGTGTACTGTGTGTGTGTACCGTGTGTGTGTGTACCGTGTGTGTGTGTACCGTGTGTGTGTGTACCGTGTGTGTGTGTGTACCGTGTGTGTGTGTGTGTACCGTGTGTGTGTGTGTGTACCGTGTGTGTGTGTGTACCGTGTGTGTGTGTGTACCGTGTGTGTGTGTGTACCGTGTGTGTACCGTGTGTGTGTGTGTGTACCGTGTGTGTGTGTGTACCGTGTGTGTGTGTGTACCGTGTGTGTGTGTGTGTGTACCGTGTGTGTGTGTGTACCGTGTGTGTGTGTGTACCGTGTGTGTGTGTGTGTGTACCGTGTGTGTGTGTGTGTACCGTGTGTGTGTGTGTGTACCGTGTGTGTGTGTGTGTACCGTGTGTGTGTGTGTGTACCGTGTGTGTGTGTGCCGTGTGTGTGTGTGCCGTGTGTGTGTGTACCGTGTGTGTGTGTGTGCCGTGTGTGTGTGTGTGCCGTGTGTGTGTGTGTGCCGTGTGTGTGTGTGTGCCGTGTGTGTGTGTGTACCGTGTGTGTGTGTGTACCGTGTGTGTGTGTGTGTGCCGTGTGTGTGTGTGCCGTGTGTGTGCCGTGTGTGTGTGTGCCGTGTGTGTGCCGTGTGTGTGTGTGCCGTGTGTGTGCCGTGTGTGCCGTGTGTGTGCCGTGTGTGTGTGTGCCGTGTGTGTGCCGTGTGTGTGCCGTGTGTGTGCCGTGTGTGTGTGTGCCGTGTGTGTGCCGTGTGTGTGTGTACCGTGTGTGTGTGTGTACCGTGTGTGTGTGTACCGTGTGTGTGTGTGTACCGTGTGTGTGTGTACCGTGTGTGTGTGTACCGTGTGTGTGTGTGTGTACCGTGTGTGTGTGTACTGTGTGTGTGTGTGCCGTGTGTGTGTGTACTGTGTGTGTGTGTGTGTACTGTGTGTGTGTGTGCCGTGTGTGTGTGTGTGTACTGTGTGTGTGTACCGTGTGTGTGTGTGTGTACCGTGTGTGTGTGTGTACCGTGTGTGTGTGTGTACCGTGTGTGTGTGTACCGTGTGTGTGTGTACCGTGTGTGTGTGTGTACCGTGTGTGTGTACCGTGTGTGTGTGTGTGTGCCGTGTGTGTGTGTACTGTGTGTGTGTACCGTGTGTGTGTGTGTGTACTGTGTGTGTGTACCGTGTGTGTGTGTACCGTGTGTGTGTGTACCGTGTGTGTGTGTGTACCGTGTGTGTGTGTGTACCGTGTGTGTGTGTGTACCGTGTGTGTGTGTGTACCGTGTGTGTGTGTGTACCGTGTGTGTGTGTGTGTGTACCGTGTGTGTGTGTGTACCGTGTGTGTGTGTGTACCGTGTGTGTGTGTGTGTACCGTGTGTGTGTGTGTACCGTGTGTGTGTGTGTACCGTGTGTGTGTGTGTACCGTGTGTGTGTGTGTACCGTGTGTGTGTGTGTACCGTGTGTGTGTGTGTACCGTGTGTGTGTGTGTGCCGTGTGTGTGTGCCGTGTGTGTGTGTGTGCCGTGTGTGTGTGTGCCGTGTGTGTGTGTGCCGTGTGTGTGTGTGCCGTGTGTGTGTGTACCGTGTGTGTGTGTACCGTGTGTGTGTGTGTACCGTGTGTGTGTGTGTACCGTGTGTGTGTGTGTGTACCGTGTGTGTGTGTGTGTGTACCGTGTGTGTGTGTGTGTACCGTGTGTGTGTGTGTGTACCGTGTGTGTGTGTACCGTGTGTGTGTGTACCGTGTGTGTGTGTACCGTGTGTGTGTGTACCGTGTGTGTGTGTACCGTGTGTGTGTACCGTGTGTGTGCCGTGTGTGTGTGTGTGTGCCGTGTGTGTGTGTGTGTACCGTGTGTGTGTGTGTGTGTACCGTGTGTGTGTGTGTGTGTACCGTGTGTGTGTGTGTGTGTGTACCGTGTGTGTGTGTGTGTGTACCGTGTGTGTGTGTGTACCGTGTGTGTGTGTGTGTGTACCGTGTGTGTGTGTGTGTGTACCGTGTGTGTGTGTGTGTGTACCGTGTGTGTGTGTGTGTGTGCCGTGTGTGTGCCGTGTGTGTGCCGTGTGTGTGTGCCGTGTGTGTGCCGTGTGTGTGTCTACTGTGTGTGTGCCGTGTATGTGTCTACTGTGTGTGTGTGTACCCTGTGTGTGTGTGTACCGTGTGTGTGTGTACCGTGTGTGTGTGTACCGTGTGTGTGTGTACTGTGTGTGTGTGTGCACCGTGTGTGTACCGTGTGTGTGTGTACCATGTGTGTGTGTACCGTGTGTGTACTGTGTGTGTGTACTGTGTGTGTGTACCGTGTGTGTGTACCGTGTGTGTACCGTGTGTGTGTGTACCGTGTGTGTGTGTACCGTGTGTGTACCGTGTGTGTACCGTGTGTGTGTGTACCGTGTGTGTACCGTGTGTGTGTGTACCGTGTGTGTACTGTGTGTGTGTGTACTGTGTGTGTGTGTACTGTGTGTGTACTGTGTGTGTACTGTGTGTGTGTGTACCGTGTACTGTGTGTGTGTGTGTGTACCGTGTGTGTGTGTACCGTGTGTGTGTGTACCGTGTGTGTACTGTGTGTGTGTACTGTGTGTGTGTACTGTGTGTGTGTGTACTGTGTGTGTGTGTACCGTGTGTGTGTACCGTGTGTGTGTACCGTGTGTGTGTACCGTGTGTGTGTACTGTGTGTGTGTACCGTGTGTGTACCGTGTGTGTACTGTGTGTGTGTACTGTGTGTGTGTACTGTGTGTGTGTACTGTGTGTGTGTGTACCGTGTACTGTGTGTGTGTGTGTGTACTGTGTGTGTGTGTGTACTGTGTGTGTGTACTGTGTGTGTGTGTACGTCGTCACCTTCGTCAACGTCGTCATCGTCATCAACGTCGTCATCATCGTCGTCATCGTCATCAACGTCGTCATCGTCGTCAACGTCGTCATCGTCATCAACGTCGTCATCGTCGTCAACGTCGTCACCTTCGTCAACGTCGTCACCATCATCGTCGTCACCATCATCATCGTCATCATCATCAACGTCGTCATCGTCATCAACGTCGTCATCGTCGTCACCTTCGTCAACGTCGTCATCGTCATCAACGTCGTCATCATCATCGTCATCGTCATCAACGTCGTCATCATCGTCAACGTCGTCACCTTCGTCAACGTCGTCACCATCATCATCAACGTCGTCACCATCATCGTCGTCACCATCATCATCGTCATCATCATCAACGTCGTCATCGTCGTCATCAACGTCGTCACCTTCGTCAACGTCGTCATCATCGTGTGTGTGTGTGTGTACTGTGTGTGTACTGTGTGTGTGTGTGTGTACTGTGTGTGTGTGTACTGTGTGTGTGTGTACTGTGTGTGTGTGTACCGTGTGTGTGTGTGTACTGTGTGTGTACTGTGTGTGTGTGTTTACTGTGTGTGTGTGTACCGTGTGTGTGTGTGTACCGTGTGTGTGTGTACTGTGTGTGTGTGTGTGTACCGTGTGTGTGTGTGTACTGTGTGTGTGTGTACCGTGTGTGTGTGTACTGTGTGTGTGTGTGCCGTGTGTGTGTGTGTGTGTACTGTGTGTGTGTGTGTGTACTGTGTGTGTGTGTGCCGTGTGTGTGTGTACTGTGTGTGTGTGTGCCGTGTGTGTGTGTGTGTACTGTGTGTGTGTACCGTGTGTGTGTGTGTACCGTGTGTGTGTGTGTGTACCGTGTGTGTGTACTGTGTGTGTGCCGTGTGTGTGTGTACTGTGTGTGTGTACTGTGTGTGTGTACTGTGTGTGTGTACTGTGTGTGTGTGTACCGTGTGTGTGTGTACCGTGTGTGTGTGTACCGTGTGTGTGTGTGTAACCACGTGTGTGTGTGTGTAACCACGTGTGTGTGTGTGTAACCACGTGTGTGTGTGTGTGTGTAACCACGTGTGTGTGTGTGTGTAACCACGTGTGTGTGTGTGTGTAACCACGTGTGTGTGTGTGTGTGTAACCACGTGTGTGTGTGTGTGTAACCACGTGTGTGTGTGTGTGTGTGTGTAACCACGTGTGTGTGTGTGTGTGTAACCACGTGTGTGTGTGTGTGTGTGTGTAACCACGTGTGTGTGCGTGTGCTCCAGATCTTCTGCGTGCACGGAGGGCTGTCGCCGTCCATCCAGACGCTGGACCAGATCCGTACCATCGACCGTAAGCAGGAGGTGCCACACGACGGGCCAATGTGTGACCTCCTGTGGTCCGATCCAGAGGGTACTGCACGTGCCGCTGGCACGCACCCAAACACACACACACACACACACCCTACCACACACACACACGTGTGGGGGTGTGTGTGTGTGTGTGTGTCACACCCCCTACCACACACACACACACACGTGTGGGGGTGTGTGTTTGTGTCACACCCTACCACACACACACACATACGTGTGGGTGTGTGTGTGTGTGTCACACACCCTACTACACACACACACACACGTGTGGGGGTGTGTGTGTGTGTGTGTCACACCCTACCACACACACACACGTGTGGGTGTGTGTGTGTGTCACACCCTACCACACACACACACCCACGTGTGTGTCACACCCTACACACGTGTGTGTCACACCCCCTACCACCCACACCCACGTGTGTGTCTCTCCCCCGTGTCTCTCCCCCGTGTCTCTCCCCCCGTGTCTCTCCCCCCGTGTCTCTCCCCCCGTGTCTCTCCCCCGTGTCTCTCCCCCGTGTCTCTCCCCCGTGTCTCTCCCCCGTGTCTCTCCCTGTGTCTCCCTGGGGTGTGTGACCGCGTCGGGCTGGCTACCTGTCTGTGTGTCTCTGTGTGTGTGTCTGTGTGTGTCTCTGTGTTTAACCCCGCGTGTGTGTCTGTGTGTGTGTGTGTCTCTGTGTGTGTGTGTCTTAGAGTCTGTGTGTGTGTTTAACCCCGTGTGTGTGTGTCTATGTGTGTGTGTGTGTGTCTATGTGTGTCTCTGTGTCTATGTGTGTGTGTGTGTCTCTGTGTTTAACCCCGTGTGTGTCTCTGTGTGTGTCTCTGTGTGTGTCTCTGTGTGTGTGTCTGTGTGTGTCTCTGTTTAACCCCGTGTGTGTGTCTCTTGTGTGTGTCTGTGTTTAACCCCGTGTGTGTGTGTCTCTGTGTGTGTGTGTCTCTGTGTCTATGTGTGTGTGTCTCTGTGTGTGTGTCTGTGTGTGTCTCTGTGTGTGTGTGTTTAATTAACCCCGTGTGTGTGTGTCTCTGTGTGTGTGTCTCTGTGTGTGTGTCTCTGTGTGTATGTGTGTGTGTCTCTGTGTGTGTGTTTAATTAACCCCGTGTGTGTGTGTCTCTGTGTGTGTGTCTCTGTGTGTGTGTGTGTCTCTGTGTGTGTTTAACCCCGTGTGTGTGTGTATCTCTGTGTGTGTCTCTGTGTGTGTGTCTGTGTATGTGTGTGTGTCTCTGTGTGTGTTTAACCCCGTGTGTGTGTAACCCCGTGTGTGTGTATGTGTGTGTGTGTGTCTCTGTGTGTGTTTAACCCCGTGTGTGTGTGTGTCTCTGCAGACACGACAGGCTGGGGCGTGTCACCCCGCGGTGCTGGCTACCTGTTTGGCAGTGACGTGGTCGCGCAGTTCAATGCGGCCAATGAGGTGGACATGATCTGTCGCGCCCACCAGCTCGTCATGGAGGGCTACAAGTGGCACTTCAACGAGACTGTCCTCACCGTCTGGTCCGCTCCCAACTACTGCTACCGGTGAGCGAGCGTGGCGCGTGTGTGTGTGTGTACCTGTGTGTGTGTGTGTGTGTGTACCTGTGTGTGTGTGTGTACCTGTGTGTGTGTGTGCCTGTGTGTGTGTGTGCCTGTGTGTGTGTACCTGTGTGTGTGTGTGTACCTGTGTGTGTGTGTGTACCTGTGTGTGTGTGTGTGTGTACCTGTGTGTGTGTGTGTACCTGTGTGTGTGTGTGTACCTGTGTGTGTGTGTGTGTACCTGTGTGTGTGTGTGTGTGTGTACCTGTGTGTGTGTGTACCTGTGTGTGTGTGTACCTGTGTGTGTGTGTGTGTACCTGTGTGTGTGTGTACCTGTGTGTGTGTGCCTGCCTGTGTGCGTGTGCCTGCCTGTGTGCCTGTGTGTGTGTGTACCTGTGTGTGTGTGTACCTGTGTGTGTGTGTGTACCTGTGTGTGTGTGTGTACCTGTGTGTGTGTGTACCTGTGTGTGTGTGTACCTGTGTGTGTGTGTACCTGTGTGTCTCTGTGTGTGTGCCTGTGTGTCTCTGTGTGTGTGCCTGTGTGTCTCTGTGTGTGTGCCTGTGTGTCTCTGTGTGTGTGCCTGTGTGCCTGTGTGCCTGTGTGCCTGCCTGTGTGCGTGTGCCTGCCTGTGTGCCTGTGTGTGTGTGTGCCTGTGTGCCTGTGTGCCTGTGTGTGTGTGCCTGTGTGTGTGTGCCTGTGTGTGTGTGCCTGTGTGTGTGTGTGTGCCTGTGTGTGTGCCTGTGTGTGTGTGTGTGTGTCTGTGTGTGTGTGCGTGTGTCTGTGTGTGTGTGTGTGTGCCTGTGTGTGTGTGTGTGTGCCTGTGTGTGTGTGTGTGTGCCTGTGTGTGTGTGTGTGCGGGGAGCGATAGTGTAGCGGTTAGCGCTACGCTGCGCTATGAACCTGGCGACCCGGGTTCGATTCCCGCTCACGGCCAACACCAGTGACGATTATCTGAACCGGTCCCGGGCCTCCCCTAGGTCGGCTCAGCCTCAAATGAGTACCTGGTGCGGTGTGTAAACATCGCCACTGGGGAGACAAAGGCGGTGGGGCGTGGTGCTGGCCACCCACCCCCTCGTGTACCGTTCCGGCCTTCATAGGTGCTCGCTAACAGCACTTGCCCCTACAGTCTGTTAAGGCTACACGGGGGATCTTTGTGTGTGGGGAGCGGTAGTGTAGTGGTTAGGGCTACGCTGCGCTACGAACCCGGCAACCCAGGTTCAATTCCCGCTCACGGCCAACACCAGTGATGGCAATAATCTCAACCTGTGCCTGGGCCTCCCCTAGGTCGACTCAGCCTCATATGAGTTACCTGGTGCGGTGAACATCGCCACCGGGGAGACAAAGGCGGCCGGGCGTGGTGCTGGCCACCCACCCCCTCGTGTGCCATAGTGTTTGCCTTCAAAGGTGCTAACGGCACTTGCCCCAACAGTCTGCTAAGGCTACGCGGGGTACCTTTGCCTTTGTTTACGTGGAAATGGATCTAATTGGCAAATCTATGAGTCTGTGGCTCTCGGAGTCTATGGATTTATAGCGCAACACAGTGCTAACTGCTGCGCCACCGCTCCTCACTCACTCGCCCAGCCACAAACTCGCTTAATCACCCACTCACCGAACCACTCACACACCCACTCATTCACCCAACCACTCAACCACCCACTCACACACTCACTCACCCACTCACTCACCCAACCACTCACTCACCCACTCACTCACCCAACCACTCACTCACCCACTCACTCACCCACCCACTCATTCACCCAACCACTCACACACTCACTCACCCATCCTTCCACTCACCCACCCACCAACCCAACCACTCACCCACCCACTCACTCACCCACTCATTCACCCACCCAACCAACCAACCACTCAACCACTCAGTCACTCATCCACTCACCCACCCACTCACTCACTCACCCATCCACTCACTCACCCACTCATTCACCAACCAATCAACCACCCACCTACTCACTCACCCACCCACCGACCCAACCACTCACCCACCCACCAAACCACTCACCCACCCACTCACTCACCCATCCACTCACCCACTCACCTATCCACTCACCCACTCACTCATTCACCCACCCAGCCACTCAACTACCCACTCACTCACCTATCCACTCACTCACCCACGCACCCACCGACTCAACCACGTACCCACTCACTCACCCATCCACTCACTCACCCATCCACTCACTCACCCACCCACTCACTCACCCACCCACTAACCGCGAAGCTCCGGGGGACCTTAATAGGCGCTCGCTAACCGTACCGCCCCCCGCTCCCCTCCCCTCCCCCCACCAGGTGCGGGAACGTGGCGGCCATCCTGGAGCTGGACGAGCACCTCCAGAAGGACTTCACCATCTTTGAGGCGGCACCGCAGGAGTCACGCGGCATCCCCTCCAAAAAACCCGTGGCCGACTACTTCCTGTGACCTCACTTCCTCTCCCCCCTCCCCGCGGCGTCACTTCCTGTCTCCGCGAAGCCCAGACCCCCACCCACCCAGCCCACCCACCGTGTCACTTCCTGTGCCGCCGCCGCTGCCCCCGAGACTCCGCCCTCACCTGTGATGGCCGCGCTCCCCTCGTCCAATGACACGACGGCCTTCGACCTCATCCTCGCCCTCCGAGATCCGAACCCCCCCCCTCCCCCCCCCTCTCCCCCCCCCCTCTCCCCCCCCCCCTCTCCCCCCCCCCGCCCACGTAGCCATTCCACCGAGCGTCGCGGTCGGCATCACTTCCTGTCTCCGCGCCTGTGATGCAACTTCCTGTATACAGCCCCCACCCCTTTCCTGCGATGTCACTTCCTGTCTCCACGCCCCCTTTTAATGTGATGTCATTTCCTGTCTACTCCCCTCCGTTTTATCTGTCACTTCCTGTCTCCGGACCCGCGCCCCTGTGATGTTACTCCCCCTTTTCCTGTGATGTCACTTCCTGTCTTTCCCACCCCGTATTTGTGTCACTTCCTGTCTCCAGACCCTCTTCCTGTGATGTCACTTCCTGTCTCCCACCCACCCCGTATTTTGTCTCTTCCTGTCTCCAGACCCTCTTCCCGTGATGTCACACCCCCCCTTTTCCTGTGATGTCACTTCCTGTCTCCCCCCCCCACCCCGTTTTTTGTCACTTCCTGTCTCCAGACACTTCTTCCCGTGATGTCACCCCCCTCCCTTTTCCTGTGATGTCACTTCCTGTTCCGCAAGCCAGCCTCGTGACATTACTTCCTGCCTCCGACAGCCAGCCTCAGTTTCCTGTGATGTCACTTCCTGTCTACCCCTCCTTCCGGCCCTTCCACGTTCAACAACAACCACAACAACAACCACAACAACAACCACAACAACGCGGCGAATTCATTGGGGGGGTGGGGGGGGTGGCAGAAGTTGTAAAGGCGCAGGAGGCAGCCCCCGACGCTCCCCCGTTTTTATTCTGTCTTTTAAAAGGTGATAAGAACATCAATTTGCTCGTTCGTTTTAATCGGAATTCCCCTCCCCTCTAGCGCCCCCCACTGATGGAGGGCTCCCACCCACTCCCCCTACCCCCACCCACCCACTCCACTCCCCCTACCCCCACCCACCCACTCCCCCTACCCCCACCCACCCACTCCCCCTACCCCCACCCACCAACCAACTCCCCCTACCCCCACCCACCAACTCCCCCTACCCCCACCCACCCACTCCCCCTACCCCCACCCACCCACTCCCCCTACCCCCACCCACCCACTCCCCCTACCCCCACCCACCCACTCCCCCTACCCCACCCACTCCCCCTACCCACCCACTCCCCCTACCCCCACCCACCAACTCCCGCTACCCCCACCCACTCCCCCTACCCACCCACTCCCCCTACCCCCACCCACCAACTCCCCCTACCCCCACCCACTCCACTCCCTCTACCCCCACCCACTCACTCCCCCTACCCCCACCCACCCACTCCCCCTACCCCCACCCACCCACCAACTCCCCCTACCCCCACCCACCAACTCCCCCTACCCCCACCCACCCACCAACTCCCCCTACCCCCACCCACCCACCAACTCCCCCTACCCCCACCCACCCACCAACTCCCCCTACCCCCACCCACCCACTCCCCCTACCCCCACCCACCCACTCCCCCTACCCCCACCCACCCACTCCCCCTACCCCCACCCACCCACTCCCCCTACCCCCACCCACTCCCCCTACCCACCCACTCCCCCTACCCCCACCCACCAACTCCCCCTACCCCCACCCACTCCCCCTACCCACCCACTCCCCCTACCCCCACCCACCAACTCCCCCTACCCCCACCCACTCCACTCCCTCTACCCCCACCCACTCCACTCCCCCTACCCCCACCCACCCACTCCCCCTACCCCCACCCACCCACTCCCCCTACCCCCACCCACCCACTCCCCCTACCCCCACCCACTCCACTCCCCCTACCCCCACCCACTCCCCCTACCCCCTACCCCACCCACTCCACTCCCCCTACCCCCACCCACTCCCCCTACCCCTACCCCCACCCACTCCCCCTACCCCCACCCACTCCCCCTACCCCCCACCCCCTACCCCCACCCACTCCCCTACCCACCCTCTGCTACAGTAGTAGTAGTAATAATAAACCGTGAGTGTTTTTGATACCGTCGAGAAATCGCCAAAGGGGTGGCGTGGGTTGTGGTGGTGGTGGGGTTGTGGTGGGGTGGTGGTGTGGTGGTGGGGTTGTGGTGGTGGGGTTGTGGTTGTGGTGGGGTTGTGGTTGTGGTGGGGTTGTGGTGGGGTTGTGGTGGTGGTGGGGTTGTGGTGGTGGGGTTGTGGTTGTGGTGGTGGTGTGGTGGTGGTGGGGTTGTGGTGGTGATGGTGGTTGGTGGTGGTAGGTGTGGGGTTTGTGGTGGTTGTGGTAGGTGGGTGGTGGTGTGGTGGTGGGGTTGGGTGGTGGTGGGGTTGTGTGGTATGGAGTGTGGTGGTGGGGTTGTGGTGTAAGGGGTGGTGGTGGGGTGGGTGGTGTGGTGGTTGTGGTGGTGGTGGTTTGTGGTGTGGTTGTTGGTTTGTGGTGGGGTTGTGGTGTTGGACTGGTTGGTGGTGTGGTTGGTGGTAGGTGGATGGTAGGTTGGTGGTTGTGGTGGGGTGGTGGTGGTAGGATGGTGGTGGTGGTGGGTGGGGGTTGGTGGTGGTGTGGTGGTGGTGGGGTTGTGGTGGTGTGGGGTTGTGGTGGTGGTGGGTTGTGTTGGTGGATGGTGTGGTTGGTGGTGGTGGGTGGTGGTGGTGGTGTGGTGGTTGGTGGTGGTGGTTGTGGTGGTTGTGGTGGTGGTTGTGTGAGGGGTGGTTTGTGGTGTGTGGTTGTGGTGGTGTTGTTGTGGTTGTGGGTTGGGTGGTGGGTGATGTGGTTGTGGTGGTGGTGGTGGGGTTGTGGTGGTGGGGTTGTGGTGGTGGTGGTGGGGTTGTGGTGGTGGGGTTGTGGTGGTGGTGGTGGTGGGTTGTGTGTGTGGGGTTGTGGTGGTGGTGGTGGGGTTGTGGTGGTGGTGGTGGTGGGGTTGTGGTGGTGGTGGTGGGGTTTGTGGTGGTGGTGGTGGGGTTGTGGTGGGGGGGTTGTGGTGGTGGTGGTGGGGTTGTGGTGGTGGTGGTGGGGTTGTGGTGGTGGTGGTGGGGGTTGTGGTGGTGGGGGTTGTGGTGGTGGTGGTGGTGGGGTTGTGGGGTTGTGTGGGGCGGTGGCGGTGGGGTAGTGGTGGTGGTGGAGGGGTTGTGGTGGTGGTGGTGGGGTTGTGGTGGTGGGGTTGTGGTGGTGGGGTTGTGGTGGTGGTGGTGGGGTTGTGGTGGTGGTGGTGGAGTTGTGGTGGTGGGGTTGTGGTGGTGGGGGTGGGGTTGTGGTGGTGGGGGTGGGGTTGTGGTGGTGGGTGGGGGTGGTGGTGGTGGGGTTGTGGTGGTGGTGGTGGTGGGTGGGGTTGTGGTGGTGGGTTGTGGTGGGTTGTGGTGGTGGGGTTGTGGTGGTGGGGTTGTGGTGGTGGGGTTGTGGTGGTGGGGTTGTGGTGGTGGTGGTGGGGGTGTGGTGGTGGTGGTGATGGTGGTGATGGTGGTGGTGGTGTTGTGGTGGTGGTGGTGGGTTTGTGGTGGTGGTGGTGTTGGTGGTGGTGGTGGTGTGTTGTGTGGTTGGTGGTGGGGTTGTGGTGGTGGTGGTGGGGTTGTGGTGGTGGTGGTGGGGTTGTGGTGGGGGTGGGGGGGTTGTGGTGGTGGTGGTTGCGGTGGTGGTGCTGGTGGTGCTGGTGCCGGTGGTGGTGCTGGGGGTGCTGGTGGTGGTGCTGGTGGTGGTGGTGGTGGTGGGTTGTGGTGGTGGTGGTGGGGTTGTGGTGGTGGTGGTGGGGTTGTGGTGGTGGTGGTGGGGTTGTGGTGGTGGTGGTGGGGTTGTGGTTGTTTTGGTGGTGGTGGGGTTTTGGTGGTGGTGGTTGGGTTGTGGTGTTGGGGTGGTGGTGGGGGTTGTGGTGGTGTGGGGGTTGTGGTTGTGGTGTGGTGGGGTTGTGGTGGTGGTGGGGTGTGGTGGTGGTGGTGGGGTGGTGGTGGTGGGGTGGTGGTGGTGGGGTTGTGGTGGTGTGGGGTTGTGGTGGTGGGGTTGTGGTGGTGGGGTTGTGGTGGTGGTGGTGGGGTTGTGTGGTGGGGTTGTGGTGGTGGTAGTGTGGTGGTGGTGGTGGTGTGGTGGTGGTGGTGGGGTTGGGGGGGGTGGGGGTGGGGTGGTGGTGCCGCTGGTGGTGGGGTTGTGGGGGTGGTGGGGGTGGGGTTGTGATGGTGGGGTTGTGGTGGTGGGGTTGTGGTGGTGGTGGTGGGGGTGTGGTGGTGGTGGTGGGGTTGTGGTGGTGGTGGTGGGTTGTGTGGTGGGGGTGGGTTGTGGTGGTGGGTTGTGGTGGTGGGGTTGTGGTGGTGGGGTTGTGGTGGTGGTTGTGGTGGTGGGGTTGTGGTGGTGGGGTTGTGGTGGTGGGGTTGTGGTGGTGGGGTTGTGGTGGTGGTGGTGGGGTTGTTGGGGTGGTGGGGTTGTGGTGGTTGTGTTGTGGTGGGTGGGTTGTGGTGGTGGGGTTGTGGTGGTGGTGGGGTTGTGGTGGTGGTGGGGTTGTGGTGGTGGGGTTGTGGTGGTGGGGTTGTGGTGGTGGGGTTGTGGTGGTGGGGTTGTGGTGGTTGTGGTGGTGGTTGTGGTGGCTGTTGTGGTGGTGGTGGGGTTGTGGTGGTGGTGGTGGGTTGTGGTGGTGGGGTTGGTGGTGGGGTTGTGGTGGTGGGGTTGTGGTGGTGGGGTTGTGGTGGTGGTGGTGTTGGTGTGGTGGTGGTGTTGTGGTGGTGGTGGGGTTGTGGTGGTGGGGTTGTGGTGGTGGGGTTGTGTGGTGGGGTTGTGGTGGTGGGGTTGTGGTGGTGGGGTTGTGGTGGTGGTGGGGTGGTGGTGGGGTGGTGGTGGTGGTGGTGGTGGTGGTGGTGGGGTGGTTGTTGGGGTTGTTGGTGGTGGGGTTGTGGTGTTGGTGGTGTG